CACTACGGGTCATCACAATGCCTCGGCACCTGCGCAAAATGCACGTTTGGCATCTGCATGCATGCAAAGTGTGTGCACGCATGCAAAGCGTGCCCACCAAGCCACGGCCACCGAACTAGTGGCAAACATATTTGAATCCCACCACTGCCAGAACAGTACAAAATGATATAAGCAGAATACAGTTTTAATCTCTAGCTGACATAGCACATTACCCAGGCAAATCAGAAATGTCAGAAGTAACCAGGATTGCAGAACCATGTATGCTAAGAGTAGTAATTTAACTGTATTCTAACCCTGGTTGGTACTCAAGGAATCACATACAACATGGAAAATGAGATGGGAAATGGCTAAGATTCAGCTCTAAGTAAACTGCAGCGTTAAAGGATGAAGTAAGAGGAAGGGAGTTTTGGTAAGACTCAGGACCCCATCAAACCATGAATGAGTAGTTTAGCTGTCTGGGAAATCAAAAGTGATCTACAAATTCCATCATTGAATATGGAAAGGTGACATTACTTGGTTGTAATTTTAATGAAGAGTCTGAACATTAAGCAGGCATGGACCTTTATTCTCAAATTTTGAGCTATTGAGAAAGGTGCCATCAAAAAAGATCTGCATCACTAAGAGGATACCAGGGGCAAACTGACTGGGGAAGATCAGTTATTTGTTTGTTTTTTTCAACTTCAATCTGTGGTTGGACAACCCCTCTCAAAATGTCCTCAAGGTATCTTGATAAAGAAGTCCAAATTTGTTCATCTCAACAAGGAAAGTGCTGTTCAATCTGGGTTTTGTCGGATGAAATTCAAACTTGGTACTTGTTGAGAGAGCAAAGAAAAGAACCAAGAATTGGAAAGAATATCAGAAAAAAAACCCAAGAAGGGACAGAACTGGTTGGTAGAGATTCAGAATATCAAACAGGAGTGTTGGGCTTGAGTCATCAGAACAACATTAAAAACTCAGGTGCAATCTGACAGAAAACAATTATCTGAAAACTTTTAGATGGAAAAAGAAGAAAAATCGGTAGGCAGAACTTACAAGACAATCAAAATAAGGGGTTTTCAACAAAAGATTATTAAAAGAATGCTTAAAAAGAGCTGAGAAGAAAAAAGAAAATAAAATCCTTATAAGCCTGATCATAGAAAGCAAAATAAAGGAAAAGGAAATCAATATAGGAGGAAGAGGGGAAGAATCAGATAGGCATTCAAGGTTGAAGACAGAATAACAGATAATCAGAGTTGGAAGGGACCTTGTAGGTCATCTAATCCAACCCCACTGCCCAAGCAGGAGACCCTACACCATTTCTGACAAATAGCAGTCCAATCTCTTCTTGAAAGTCTCAAGTGATGGCGCTCCCACAACTTTCAAGGGCAAGCTGTTCCTTTGGTTGATTGTTCTCACTGTCAGAAAGTTTCTCCTTATTTCCAGGTTAAATCTCTCCTTGCTCAGTTTCCATCCATTATTCCTTGTCTGGCCTACAGGCGCTTTAGAAAATAGCTGGACCCCTTCCTCTCTGTGGCAGCCCCTCAAATATTGGAAGACTGCTATCATGTCTCTCCTGGTCCTTTTCTTTACTAGACTAGCCAAGCCCAGTTCCTGCAACCGTTCATTGTATGTTTTAGCCTCCAGTCCCCTAATCATCCTGGTTGCTCATCTCTGTTCTTTTTCTAGAGTCTCAGCATCTTTTTTATAGTGTGGTGACCAATACTGGATACAGTACTGTAGGTGTGGTCTTACTAAAGCTTTATAGAGTGGTATTAATACCTTACTTGATCTTGATTGTATCCCTCTGTTAATACAATTTAGGATTGCATTAGCTTTTTTTTACTACTGCTGCACATTGCTGGCTCATATTTAGCTGGTTATCCACTAAAACTCCAAGATCCCTCTCACAGTTACTGCTATTGAGCCTGGTTTCATCCAGTCTATATGTGTACTTTGGTTTTTCTTGCCTAAGTGTAGGACTTTACATTTCTCTACATTTAATTTCATTTTGTTAGATATGGCCCAGTGTTCTAGTCTTCTTGGGTGTTAGCTATTCCTGCCAGCTTAGCATCATCTGCAAATTTGGTAAGTTCCCCTTCTATTCCCTCATATAAGTCATTAATGAAGATACTGAAGAGTACTGGACCTAAGACAGAACCTTGTGGCACCCCACTGCTTACTGCCCTCCATGTAGACTTAGACCCATTAAGGACTACTCGTTGAGTACGGTTTGTCAACCAGTTGCGAGTCCATCTAGTGGTGGTGCTATCTATTCCACTTTTTTTTCTAGCTTGCCAAGAAGTAGGTTGTGGTCTACTTTGTCGAATGCCTTGCTGAAATCTAAATATATTATGTCCACAGTATTTTGCTGGTCTACTAATTTAGTCACTGTGTTGAAGAATGAAATAAGATTGGTTTGGCATGATCTGTTTTTAACAAACCCGTGCTGACTACTAGTTATTACTTTACTTGTTTCTAGATGTTGGCAGATCTGTTTTTTTAATTATCCTTTTCAATAACTTCCCAGGATTGATGTTATAACAACAGCCATATCTTCCTACAAGATATCAAAAGACATAAAGATTTGGCCGACATAAGACTCATTTTGCTGTGCACTATCCCCTTGCCCCCCAAACCTAGAAGAAAACTCTGGGAATAAAAGAAGATGGAGAAGAACTCTCAGATAAATGACTCTGATGAAATCAATGTAGACTTTCATTGTAAAAGCTTGAAGCTACTTGTTCTGCTGTGGGACTAGCAGAATCACTGACTTCTTTTGAAAGAAAAGATCAAATCAACAGATAATGGTGAAGCAAATTATTTCTGGAAAATGTATCCCCAAAGCAACCAATGCTGAAAAATATATTTGGTTAGCTGTGCCAAGATGTAGAAAAATGATGCTGGAGAATGTTCCAGGCATGTTCAAGACTAAGCATTCCTTTCTGAACTCATATATGAGGAATGGGGATGACAAAAGGTAACCTGATTTCTGGTGAACTACATATTTCATACGGAGGCACGATGGCTCATTGGTCAAAGACACTGAATTCATCAGCTGACAGTCTGGGTTCAAGACCTGGACACCGCACAACAGAGTGAACTCCCGTTACTTGCCCAAGCTCCTCCCCACCTAGAAGTTCGAAACCATGCAAATGCGAATAGATAAATAGGTACCACTTCAGTGGGAAGGTAACAGCGTTCTGTGTGCCTCAACCTATACAGTCATGCTGGCCCTATGACCATGGAAGCGTCTTTGGAAACGCTGGCTCCCTCAGCTAAGAGACAGAAATGAGTATTGTTCCCCCTAGAATCAGAGTCAACTGGAAAGGTGAAACCTTTACCTTTAGTTTTATATATTTCATAGCCGATCAAATAGCCTGTGTAAAAAAAAAAAAAACACGAGAAGTTTCACAAATATCCATTTAGCAGGAATGCACCGTTCTTAAGAAGCTAAGAAATCAAGGAAGGAAAAAACCCAGAGCCCGAATTATGGAATTATCTTAAGTTCTTGAAAAGTCCTGGAGGACTTCTAAAGTTTTATTATTTTCTCTGAAATCAGAGAAGGAATGAAGAAAGGACAAAAAATGTTCAGAAAGGCTAGAATGTAGAACTGGCAATTAAGAACCAATCAGTAAAGAGTAACATAAAGAGATTAAGCACCTGTTCGTCAGTTAATGGATGGAAGAAAAGAGAAAGAAAAATAATCAAATGTTGCTCAGATTTAGCAGAGAATCCAGTTTCACTTGGGAAATCTGAATGCATATTGACAGTGATCACACGGGGAATGATTGGGGAAACATGCATAATTCCATTTGATAGTTTTGGGGAATAGAAAAATCAGCTTGATATAATAAAATTCAAACAAAGATGACCTTGGTTTAGGGAGGCAAGGGAAAACGCAAGCCTTTTTTTCAGTATCCAACTACACAGAATGAGTTAAAGCAAGTATAGTTTATTGCTGAGAAAGCTAAGTGCTGTTGACTCTAAGGGAGAAAACAATATGTCAGATACAATAGATAAAAGCATATGACCATCAAAAATATATGATAATAAAGCACTCTGAGCGCAACTTATGTCTAAAGAATTCTAATTCTACTTTTTCAAAAGTTTGATCTTAAATAAATGTGACTGAAGCACAATCCATCTTTGCTTGTGGCAATGGACATAAAAAAAAATGTAATGCAGGAAAAATACATCTTGGAAATTTTACTACCGGTTTTGTGGGCATGGCTTGATGGGCATGGCAGGGGAAGGATACTGTAAAATCCCCATTCCCTCCCCACCCCACTAACCTGCTTTCCAGCTCCATTCTCCTGTTCAGGGCAACCAAAGAAGACCTAGCCAATCAGCTGGGACTAGGAGGCAGAGAATAGATGGGGCGGGCCCAGTCAGAGGTGGTATTGGCCGATTCTCCGAACTACTCAAAATTTCCACTACTGGTTCTCCAGAAGTGGTCAGAACCTGCTGAATACCACTTCTGCTTGGAATTGATGGAGGATTCTATTATTAAGGATTACCACTCTAAAAGTTATACTGGACAGGTAGTCCTCAACTTACCACAGTTCTTTTAGTGACCATTCGAAATTACAATGGCATTGAAGTAAGTGACTTATGACTGTTTTTCACACTTACAACCATTGCAGCATCCCTATGATTACCTGATCAAAATTCAGATGCTTGGCAACTGACTCATATTTATGATGGTTGCAGTGTCCTGGGGTCATGTGATCAGCTTCTTTGACCTTCTGACAAGCAAAGGCAATGGGGAAGCCAGATTCACTTAATAACCATGTTGCTAACTTAACCACTGCAGTGATTCACTTTACAACTGTGGCAAGACAGGTTGTAAAATGGGGCAAAATTCACTTAATGCCCGTCTCGCTTAAAAAACATAAATTTGGGGCCCCATTGGTTGTAAGCCTGAGTAAGTAACCAGGCAATCCACACAATTTCTCTCCATGAAATGGGCAGAAAGGAGAAATTAGGATGTGAAAGGAAGACATTGGCAAACATAGGCTGACCTGATGCAGGGCACCAACCATTTTGCGAGTCTCTTGATAGACCCTTTCGGAAGTCCAGTGAGGGTTCAGCTCCTTCAGGGCTTTTGCCAGGCGGTTGTGCTCTCGCAACCAGAGAGTATGCAGAGCTGCCAAGGAAAGCACTTCACTCGACCTGGTATCCCCAGCCATGAAGCATTCGATCCTTTCTGCTTTGTCCTCCTTTGGATCTTGGGCGCAAGGAGAAGGCACTTGGTCAACGAAAGGAAGATATTCAAGCCCTTTATCAAAATGTAGCAGGTTAATTCTTAGGAGGCCTCCTTCACTGGTCAGATTCCTCAGCTTGTTCTCCGCAGCCGCTGTGCTGCCATAAACAGTAGAGGCATCCAAGAAGGAAGTAGCTATATTCATCTGTTGCCTTGGGTTTATCGCCGATAGATTTCCTAACGGTCCCTGTTGACCAGTGGTGCATGCAGGCTTCGAACGATAAAAAGGGATGCAATCCATCCTTGCAGAGAATGTATCATTGGGGAAGACCTGTGAATGAAATGAATTATTTTCATGAAAGAGTGTAGCCTTTTTTAAAGTCACAATGTGGAGCAGATTTTTTAAGTTTAGAATTAAAGGAGGTATAAAACCACACATGTTACTAGAAAGGGGTTTCCTACAGTAGAAAGACCTTCCTACAGTAGATCTTCTCCAGAACAAATTTATAATCCTTTGGTGCAACTTCTTTTTACAATTCATCTACATGTTTACGCAATGTTTTGTAGTAAGGCCCAGTGCATACACCAGGGATCAGCAGAAGGAGTGAAAGGCTTCTTTTGTACAGCACTAAGCGCTTAGACTTATACCACTTCACAGTGTTTTTACAGCCCTCTCTAAGCAGTTTACAAAGTCAGCCTATTGCTCCCAACAATCTGGGTCCTCATCTTACCAACCTTGGAAGGATGGAAAACTGAGTCAACCTTGAGCCTGAATGGATAAAGACTTTTTCTGACTTGGCACAAGAAATAGTAATCACAGTTCAATCTTCTGCCTAAGCTCCGACGCAGAGTCTTTTTCTAGCAGTGGCAAAACAGTTCATAGAAAGCACTTCTATTTACCCATTGGTGAATCTATCCGTAGATCTGTAGAATGTCACATTCTTTATTAGGGCTGCAAAAAAAATTATTGGTTTCTTTTCGTAGTGGTACAGTGGCTCTTGCCTCACAATCAGGAGGCTGTGGGTTCGATCCTAGGTAGTGCCAGATATTTATCTCTCTGGGTAACAGATTCCTAGCGTGATACTACCATTCTTCTGGGGAAGGGGGAACCCTGGATGTATTACTTAGTTTATTGCTTTCCTGTCACCTTTATGTTATAACCTTTATCCTGGCACCTAGGCGCCCTGGGATTTGCTCACCTTTTGGGGAATGTATTAGGGGAGAGGGCCATGTGGGTTGTTTCACTCTGAAAGGCAGCAGAAGATGTCCCCGGGAACGCTCGCTTATCAGGTTCCCAGGAGGCCTGTTAAAATAACATCTCCACACCTGCGGATTGGCTGAATCCACACTGGACTGAAGGGAAGGGTTTCTAAACGCCTTTATCCTGATTGTATCATTTGAGGGAAATCAGAGTCTGTTTTCTTTTACCTTGCTATCGCTCCTGTTCAATAAAAGGTTCCTTTCTGAAACGCCAAGGTTTCAAGAGTCCTTACTTTCTTGGGCAAAGAGGAGAAGATGGATCTTACACTGGGCACAATGAATAATTATCTGCTCTGAACTCTGCATTGGTGACAGGAAGGGCATCCAGCCAGTAAACGCTCAGCTCCATTCACTTGCCCTGACTCCACCTCAAAGTAAGGGATTAAGGGGTCATTAAAAGACAAAAAAAAAAAATGGTTTCTTTTCAGGTTTGCTATAAAACACACAGAGATATTTATACTTGTTTTCAGTGGTGGGATTCCAATTTTTTTACTACCGCTTCTGTGGACGTGGCTTGGTGGGCATGGCAGGGGAAGGAGACTGTCAAATCTCCAGTCAGAGGTGGTATCTGCCGGTTCTCCGAACTACTCAAAATTTCTGCTACTGGTTCTCCAAAACTGGTCAGAACTTGCTGAATACCCACCTCTGCTTGTTTTGTTTATGAAATGGGGGAATGATCTCTGATTCTGCATAATTCTAGCTGCAGAAAACTCAGGTCTTTTGCTGACATCCAAGTGTTGCCCAGTTATTTGCAGCACACATTGGGTAGCTGTGGTTTAAGATGCAGATTTTTGAAAAGCAAAATACACAAAAACATGTGGGGGGGGGGCTTCTAAAAATCTAAATAAATAAATCAGGAGCACGGCAGATAAAAGGAGAGGATTTAACTCTTTCCTTTGATCTGTGGTCTTAAAGAACACTTCTCTAAATGTCAGCTATTTTGTTGGCTTTATTTCTCTTTCCAGAGGGAAATTACACTTACACATTTTCAAGTGTGAAGCCTTTTGTGGCAGAGCAAGTTGTCATACGCCACAACTGGGAATGTCTTTTCTGTCGTGTTATGCATGAACAATTTAAATTTCTTTCTTTCTTTCTTTTACTCCTTTGTGTAGTTAGTGGAGTCATGCAGAAAGGAAGGAGAAGCAAGCATTTCATGATCTCTAGGCAGGAGAAACCATTCTGTAAGGTAGAGGGAATTCTTATACAGGTAGTCCTCAACTTACACAACACTTCATATAGTGACCATTTGAAGTTACTGAAAAAAGTGTTTTACATGCTTTACACTTACAACCATTGCAGCATCCCCGTGGTCATGTGATCAAAATTCAGACCCTTGGCAACTAACTCATATTTATGACAATTGCAGTGCCTTGAGGTCATATGATCAGCTTCTGCGATCTTCTGACAAGCAAAGTCAAGGGGGAAGCCAGATTCACTTAACAACTGAGTTACGGTCATGCCCTTGTTAGAACCGGACTCTGAGGGAAAGGAGGAACAGCCGACAGGGAGTGGAAGTGTGGCTCCGGAGATTGTGGAGGAGGCTGGGGAAGGGCAGAGTCCGGCTGGGCAGTCAGAGGAAGAACCAGGCCCACCCCCTCTTCATCCTAGGACACATAGGGAGGAATGTAGAAGGAAACAACTTGGCTTATGAGAGAGGAAGCAGCCATGATCCCTCTCATTGGTTGTAGCTGGGGAGAATAGTGTATAAGAGAGACAGTGAAAACACAGCATTGCTAGAAGCAAAGCATGTTTTAGTTTGGGCTGTAGTTATCTTGGTTGGTGTCCTTCCAACAGACTGTGTCTTATCTTCTTGAAGTTGGTAATTATTTATCCTGGTCTGTTTGTGGAAATTCCTTCATTGTAGTTTGTTTTGTTTTTTTATTTCACCTTCATCTGCTCATTGAGTTTGGACTGTATTGCTTTCTTTTGAAGACTATTTTGTAATAAGTTTAATCTCCAACTGAGAATTATTGAACAATGGGGCCAAGTTGGAGACATTAAAGGACATTTATTTTCATTTTGGATTTTGTTACATTTGTGTTACACTCCGGGTCATCACAGTTACTAACTTAACAACTACAATGATTCACTTAACAAATGTGGCAAGAAAGGTCGTAAAATAGGACAAAACTCACTTACATATTTCACTTAGCAACATAAATGTTAGGCTAAAATTCTGGTCGTAAGTTGAGGACTACCTGTATTTGGCACCTTTGAAGTATAACTTAAAATGCAGGAATTGTACAGCATTCAGAAGCCTTCCCCAATTTTCCTTTCTTGTCACTGTGGGAATCAATTGGCCAACTCAGCTATGGTTGAATTTCTGAACCAAAATGTTGTACTTTCCCATTTTCAGTAATAACTCTTACTTCGTACAAGGAAGATGTCATAAAGAAGAGTTGATTAAGTTACATGTAACATTGCCTTTCTTGTATATTACCTTTGTTCTGATTATTAATATCAGTAAAGTTACAGGAAGAAAATATATTGACAATTCAAAGAAAGCAATGTAGATTTCCCTATAGATATTTTGATGGAGCTGAAAAAGTTAAGCTAAAATACATTTACACATTTGGAACTACTCATAATATTATGTCATGAAAGTTTTATCAATGTGGTATCAAAATTAATGGTGATGCACAACAGTTTTTACACTGGAACATCATAATTTTTCATTCAGGGGAAATACATTGAGGCTGCCATGTAAGTATGGAATTCTGTCATAATTCCACTATATGTTAAATGCTAACAAAAGAATTATTCTCATGATTTGAGGGTGCATCTTCATAGAATGTTTTATCCTTAATTACTAGGAGAAAATATTTCTTGCTATTTAACTACATTTATCATGACAATTTAAATAAAATATAATTACCATGCTACCTTTAGAAAAATTACTGTCAGGACATCAAATAGCTACTAGCTATTAAAATCTATCTCAGATTTATAATTATCACACTCAAGAGGATCCTTCTGTTTTGAGGAAAGGAATTCATTCTTCTGAGGTACTTTTCTTACTCTTAATCTTCAAAGAAATGATATATTAAATGGAGATTGATAGTACAAAAATTTAGAGACCAATTGCATAAGAGGTCAGGAAATTACCCTAATTTGTGTCTTTATTTATATTTATTATTTATTATATTTTCATCCCCCCGGCCCCCAATAATAGTATTCTTGACCACTGAGTTGATTAGGCTGGCAAAAAGCTTAGAATCTGTATTAGCATTTGAATTTGAAATATTTTTCTTTCAATGTTACATACTTTTTAACTGTATATGTTAAACTGTATATGTTAGGGTGGACTAAACATGAACACAATTTTCTTCATAGTAAACCAAAATGTGTAATTGTTTCTTTGACTCAGCATGTTACATGAACTGAGCTACTTTATAGCTTAGTTTATTCTGTGAACTCAGCCAACTATGTCTTGTTTAACAAGCCATGGTTAATCAAATTATAAAAAATCTGAATATAGTCAAAGAGTTGCAATGGCTTGTCAGTTTGACAACACATAAAAGAATGGAACTAATTGCTATAAAAATACTTATTATGTCTCCTATGGATGTTGTAGAATAAATGAATATACCCCTCAATTATCTAGTACAAAGTCAAGATATTTAACCAAATAACCAAGTCCTGTCTGTATCCATTGTAGGATAACATCTGTTCCCACTAGATTAAAATAAAATGGGGATATATGGGATGGATTTCTTGAATGTAAAACATATCCCCAAACCCAGAGGGACAATTTTCATTACAGCTGGGCTGGATTTTCATTATAGCTGGTAGCTCCCTGAAGAAGGATTGATATTTCCTCAAAGGACTGGCTCATTTTTAATAAGCGTGCTGCACAGGATGGTAGACTTCTGAATATGCACACCACTGGAATTTCATACATCAAATACATCTGCTTGCAGCGATAGGCCTCAAAGGACACCCCTTGAGTCTTGAAGCCCTTCAAGAGTGAAGTAGTTTAAGTACATACAAGCACACATGCGTAAAATATGCAATGACGGATGATTTGGTCACATCCAGGTACACAACTGTGAATGGGACTCTTTTTTAAAAAGTATGTAAAAATAAATATTTTTTTTAAACAGTACCTGTATTGGGAAGCATGGATTTTGGTTTGCGCAAGTCATTTGACAATTGATGGCTCCCTGGAAGGAAGGTTGGTTTTCACTTTGGGGAGTAAAGGCAAGATCATGGTCTATATATTGGCCCCACACGGTGATCAGATCAGAATATAGCTCATCTTCAGTGACAGCCTCGTTAGACGCTTCAATAATTTTTCTTGTCACTTCACGTACCTGGAAGACAGTGAGTTAACAACTCAACATGTTACATAGTATTTTTTTCCTAATGTTATTCCAACCCTGAAAAGGCTTCCACCCCCAAATTGTTGGCTTGTTTCTCTACATTCTGACAGACTGGCACTTATATACAGGTATAGGAGTTGGACATCACAGAAGGTTGAACTACATGTTTACCAGCATATTATTCATCCTTTTGGAAAATAAGAAACTCGTGACTTAGTATTTTGAGGGAGACCCAAATAACTTGATTGTTTGATAACTACTAATTGCACTCCTATACATGGCTACTCAGAAGTGACCTCCATTTAGTTCAATGAGACTTATTTTCAGATACAATTACATTCTAAGAGGTCTTACATAGTATCGTCAGTCATATAATGAGAGCACTTCTGTCCACCAAAAAAAGAAGATGGGAAAGAAACTGAAAGACACAGCTTCTGAGGGGAAGGGTTGCTTTCTGGTACCTGGATGAGAGGCTAGAAGCAGTCAGGCAAACAGATATTTGTCTTTGAAATGGTATTCATGCAGGTCCAGAGTGTCTTTCCCAGGCAGAAATACAGAAGTGCTCTTGTCTGTGATGCAGTGATAGATTTGCTCATTAAGTATGGGAGACTGCTAATGGTTAAGATGCTGGGCTTGTGGACTGAAAGCACATTTGGGACAACCCATGACCTAGATAACTGAGAATCTCTACAGATTTAAGCTATACAAATTGGGATGAACACCCTTTAAATGGTGTGAGAGTTGGAAAGGATTTCCAGAAGAAAAATAGCAGTCTACAGAAATCATTTGCACTGCTCAGGAGGAGGGCTCGGACAAGTGGTCTGTATTGGAAGCAGGGATGGGGCCAGGGCAGGCTGGCAGTCATCAGCTGCCTTCAGACTCAGACAGTAGTGAGGTGGGGAAGTTTCTGGAACCAGTTCCCAGCCTGCGCATGTGCAGGGCTACCATAAGACAAGAACAATTGAGAAAGCAGGGTTGACTCAGGAGTAAGGCCACACCTTGGAGATGATTGGCCCCTCCCATAGGACATAAAAGAGGAGCAAACAGGATGTGAGCTTTTGCAGGAAGCAATTAGTTTGTCTGGTCGATTCAAGCTTTGCAAAGTTCTGTTTGACTCTGTGTCAAGTTTGGCCTTGCCCTGTGTTTGGCAATTAGTTCTCTGGCAGCATTCCAAGTGTGATAAGGTGGATGTTTATAAACATTCCCCTGGAAGACTGTTTGTGAAGCTTTGCAGGCTGTGAATTAACATAATTCAGAGCCGTGGAAATAAAAGAAATAAGAGAGGTTTGCTGGGACTAAGATTGCGTTTTATGCTTTCTAAGGAAACCTAGGTCAGGACAAGTACAAAGGTACTACTGTAGTATCTTATGATTCATGATGAATGTATTTATGAAGACTATGATCATGATTTATATATTTTATGTACACTGAGAACTTTTGCACTGAAGACAAATTTCTTGTGTGTCCAATTACATTTGGCCAATAAAGAATTCTATTCTAGTACCTAAAATCTGTTTCTTGAACTTCTTATGTTGGTATATGGTACATGTCATCATCCTCATGAAGACTTTTCTATTCTTCATTACCTTTGGAACTGCTTTGTCTCTTTTAGGATGATTTTGATTATTGTTAATGGCTGATCTTTGATTATGTTTGTTGGATTGAGTTTTGTTGGATTATACAAAGTTACTTCTCAATGTGTTTCCTTATTTTTTTTTCTTGCCTGAAAGCTTATGTTTCAGGACAGTATAGATGCCTACTAAGCAACTTTAATTTGAAAAACGATTTCACCCTATACTGACCGAAGGCAATGGAAATCCATTATGTAAGAAACCGAGATTCCATCCTCTGGGCTGACTTAGTTCATCTTCATAAACTGGAGGAAGCCATCTAGCCAGAGCAGTGTTAGAAGCTCCCCAAGTAGGATGTTCCCTGTGTAATTAAAATAATTAATAATTTATATCATTACAATTATTCATTATAATAGTCTATTCCATGTGCAATTCCCGTTATATTCTTAAAAGCAGTCCTCAGTTAATGACAGCAATTGGAATTTCTGTCACTAAGGTGTAAAATGATGTCCTGTGACTGCATCGCTGAGTGATGACAATTTTAGTGGTTCCCTTTGCCAATGTTAAGTGAGAATCATGGGTCATTAGGTGAGGTCCTCCTTGTAATTTCCTACTAAGTTCCAGCAAGCAAAATCAATGGGGAAGCTGGTGGGAAGTCAAAAGTCCAGGAGGACTTGCAAGCAGGCTGGTGGGCAGGTAAATGGTTGCTATGGGAGCTGCTGCAGCCCAGAGTGAGTGCAGCCAGTAGCTGCTGCTGACTGGAGCAAGCCAATCAAGTTGCACAAGCTCTTCCATAGCCTTGCAAGAGTCTCCAATCCTTGCATGGCCAGTAGCTGCCTTGTGAAGGGCCAGGCTGGGCATGCCTCATCAACAGTGGGAGGAAGAAGATGGTGAAGGTCACTGGGACAGCAGAAGCAGCAGAGCACAGGGCAGATTGGGAAAACTTGAAGCTCATCCTGTGATTGTAAATGTGGGCAGATGGACAAGCACCTAAATTTTGATCATATGACCCCCAGAAGCACTGCAGCACCAGGCATAAGTATTACTCATTCAGTCCTACGGTAACTTAGGTCACTGAACAAATGATTGTTAAGTGGGGACCTACCTTAACTTATTGTTTTATTACAGCCAACAAATCTACTTATGCCTGTCCATCTTCCAAGTGGGACAGAAAAGAGTCAGAACATTGGAGAAAATGACCAAGTAATGCTGGAATATTTTATTTTAAGAGAAAACAAAGGCTGAATGTAGCCAAATGTATCTTAGACTTCCCCAAACAGATGTTAATACACCCAAAGTGATGCTAAATGGAAGGAAGAAGTGATGGGCCCTCACATGGGTGGAAGTCCTAAAGCATGAGGTAATACAAGCACAGTTGCAAATAATTTTAATCAGGAGGAATCAAAGAAAAAGCTGGCATGATTGCCCATAAAATTTAATGAAGAGTTGAAAATGCAGAGAGACGCGGAGGGGGAGGGAGCGGGAAAGAAGGTTGGGCCACAAAGGGCAAAGAGATACAGTAATCCTGAACTGAGGAACATGAGGAAAACGAGAGCCCAGAATTTGCTGATATTAGAAAAAAGATGCTAATAAAAACAGAAGGGGCTTCTTTAGATGTGTTCAAATGAAATTCCAAAGAAAAAGAATCAATATACCAACTGCCCAGGGAAGGCAATAAAATGTTAGCAGGTAACCAAGTGGCAAAGCAGGAGCAGATTTACTCAAGATATTATATGGTTCATTCTTCTTTAGCAAAGAATTTGCTCCGGAAGTTATGAAGGGCAGGTGAAAGATAAAATTAAGGCTTGAGAGTGATAAAAAATATGGGCCAAAAAGGTATCTGATTCATACTTCAAAATTAGATGAATTGAATTAAAAAAAACAACTAACTAGACGAATCCTCTTTTTTTGAGGGGGGGTAGGGAGAAAAGGAGAGAGAGATGATAAATAGATAGAGGATAGATAGATAGATAGATAGATAGATAGATAGATAGATAGATAGATAGATAATAGATAGATAGATAGATAGATTGATAGATGATAGAAGATAGATAGATGATAGATAGATAGATAGACAGATGATAGATAGATAGATAGATAGATAGATAGATAGATAGATAGATAGATAGAT